GAGAGCTTTCTCTCAATGACAGGTGTGGTGGTTGGAGGGGGTGGGGAAACAATATATTATTGGTTAATATTATTTTTCAGAGTGCACAGTGATGTCAAAAAATTAGAAGATGGGTTGATTGACACCATAAAATACAGCTACCACACTGTGTTCTGACTGTTCATAACCCGATTTGTTTAAGTTTGAAAATTTTTAAAGCTAATTCAGCTAGTTAGTTCATGCTTCATTCACTTCAATTAGTTCAATTAGTTCATGCATGAGTGCAGCTGTCTGTTCCATAACGCTCTGCACAAAGAAGGTCATGGGTCTTTCTTTGAATAGACAGTTGAGCATACATTTACAGTATACACAGTGTGTTTGATTTTTTTAACTGAAATTTATATTGAATTTCAGACAGGGCTGAAGCGGGACTTGTTTTCAGACCAGGACGTACATAGCATGGCCATCATGCAAAATAACTTTTTCTAAAATCGGCATAGTTTCATCTAAATTTTCCCTCTTTTTTATCCATTATTTATTTAGTAACTCAGATAACCAAGGTGGCTGAGTCATGTTTTAAGTGTGATATAACCATGACCGTCTATATATTACAAATTAATGCAAGCCAAATAAGTTAAGGTCCTGTCAACATTTCTTACTGCCCACCTGCTTGGATATGTCATCATCCTCCTTAAGTAGCTTTTTCATTCTTGTGTTCTTCGTACCACCTTGTTTTTTTGCAGTTCTTGCCACAGATGTCCATCTACACATGACTTAAGTACAACCAAATTTTGAATTTGATGCGAGAAACATGTTTCAAAAAAGTTGGGACAGGGCAACAAAAGACTGGTAAGGTTGTGTAATGCTTAAAAAACTGTAGGTGGAACATGTCACAACTAATTAGTTAATTGGCACCAAGTCAGTAACACAAAAAGACCGTCCCTGAGAGTCTTTTAAAAGTAAAGTCATGGAGGGGTTCCGCACTATGTGAAAGGCTGCACAGACAAATAGTCCACTAATTTAAAGATTAACATTTCTCAATGTAAATAGCAAAGAATTTGGGGATTTTCCTAATCTACGGTACATAATATCATTAAAAATTCAGAGAATTCTCCAAATGCAAGGGACAAGGCTAAAAACCAACATTGGCTGGCTGTGATCTTCAGGCCCTGAGGTGACACTGCATTAGTGTCATCCTGCTGTAGTGGAAATCACTGCAGGAGCTCAGGAACACTTCTGAAAATCTCTGTCTGAGAACACAGTTTATTGCAGCATCCACAAATACAAGTTAAAATTCTATCATGCAAAGAAGAAACAATAATCCAGAAATGCTACCACCTTCTCTGGGCCTGAGCTCATTTAAGAAGGACTGAGGTGAAGTCCAAAACGTGTTCTGTTGTCCGACAAATCAAAAATTTAAATTTAAACTTTGTAAATCATTAGTGACGCATCTTCTGGGCTAAAGAGGACAGGGACCATCCAGTTTGTCAGTGCACAGTTCAAAAGCCAACATCCGTGATGGTATGGGGGTACATTAGTGCAAACGGCATGGATGACTTGCACATCTGTGAAGGCACTATTAATGCTGAACAGGTTTATATAGGTATATACAGGTTTTGGAGCAACATTTACTGACATCTTGCTTATTTCAGCAAGACAATGCTAAACCACATTCTGCATATATACAACAGCTTTGCTCCATAGTAAAACAGCCTGGGTGCTAAACAGACCTACCTGCATTCCAGACATGTCACCCACTGAAAACTTTTGCACATTATGAAATGAAAAATACAACAAAGGAGACCTGCTGGGCAGCTGAAATCCTATAACAAGCAAGAATGAGAAAACATTTCACTTTTAAAGCTATAGCAACTGGTCCCCTCAGTTCCCAAACACTTACTGACTGTTGGTAAAAGAAGAGGTGATGCCACACAGAGGCAAACATGCTCATGTCCCAACTTTTTGGAAATATGTTGCTGCCATCAAGTTCCAAATGGCCATATAATTAAAAAAACTATAAAATTTCTCATTTTAAACATCTGATTTGTTGTTTTTGTACTAATTTCAATTAAATATAGAGTTTACATGATTTGCACATCATTGCATTTTATTTACATTTTGCACAGCATACCAACATTGCACTGAATTTGACACACTTCTCTCGAGACTCATCTTAGCTTCCCATTCAAATTCCTATTCCACCATAAAGAGTGGAGCAGTTACATGCAAACACCCATACAGGCATCTGAATGTTACTTCTATATTATTTAACGCAGAATGGGAAATGAGAATTAAAAGTTAACTCCAGCTTCTTTTAATCTTTATCTTCTGTATGAGATTCAATCAGCAGACTAGAGCTGTACCAGCTGAGGTGGGAGCCGCTGATTTAAGCCCTAAATCCCTACTGAAATACACTTAGATATAATATTTACAGTTTAAGCTTTCTAGTGCTTATATGTGTGAGTTTAACACATGGTAATAGGCCCACCGGGATTTCTCCAGACTCAATTACCCACTGCTACCCACTGCAGTGCTGGTTTAAGGCGTCTTATGCCAAACACTTTGAAAACTGACACGTGAACAAACTCATGGATATACGATATAAGACTGCACAATATATTGTTTTCCAATTGTTATCATGATACTGGTTAATTGCAATAATGACATTGCAGAAGACTGCACAATACAAATGAGCCCTCTAGACAGTCACAGTGTTTTTTGCTGTGCGCTGTGGGTGAGAGCTTCTGTGGGTGTTTTAATGAATCAAGGTATTTGTGTAATCTAATAAAAGTAAATTATTTTGGTTTAAGCATTATTGATTTAGCATTGTGTTTATAAAATCTTGGAAGGCATGTCACAATTACAACATGTAACAGTACAATGGTATTTTTGTCCATATCTTTCAGTGCTAATTTGAAAAACAAAGTTCTGTATTCATAACCTGAACATCTAACTAGCTACAATATTGCTTACACTTTATATAAAGGGTGTGTATGTAACACATTCATAACTTCTTACATAAACACTTCATAACTTCTTACATAAACACTTCATAACATGTTCATAAATGCTTAAATCAACAGACTACAGTGTCCACAGGGCAGAAGCCTATTTGAGAACAGCACAAATCAGTTCTACATTTCTACTTTAGTTAAAACACAAAAGTACAGTTTCTATTAAGGAGACCTGTGTGGCTGCAGACATGAACAACTCTGTTACTAACTAAAATTTTTAATGTCTCCTTAGTACTGTTCATCAAAATATAACTATAACTCACAGCACATTTAGTTTTGATACTTTCATATATTTAAAAGCAAATACATTTGTACATTTTTTTTAAATGCATGAAAGTATCAAAACTAAATGTGCTGTGAGTTGTGTGCCTTCTGAAGAAGTACTTGAATGATTTACTGTCATTATATCTTTATCAGTATAATGTAGATTTTGCATTTTAAGCCTAAACATTGAGCTGGACCTTCCTTTTGAGCCTGTGCATGTGACATTAATATGTAAAGACATATATCATGGTGCTAAAAACTCCCTCGAAATCTGAATGAACAACTCTGAGTTTTAAATTATTATTTCAGGCTTTACAGGGAGACACATTCAATTTTAACAAAAACAAAATCTTACATGGTGCTTCTTTATGTTAGATGCATCACTATCTTTCATATACCTGATAAGTGGTTTTATTAACTCGGTCTCTGCTTTATGCTTCTGAAATGAAACAAATACTTCAATCAATTTAGTTTAACCAGCAGGTCCAAAGTTTTACCACACATTTCTATAACCTAAGAATAACTTACATAACTTACAACTTACAGCCATCTTACATTGCATCCCATTTAGTCACTGGCTACTAAGCCTTAGCATGTACCAAGATTAGGATTTTAAGACATTAAGTAGGGCTGAACGATTTTGGTGAAATATCTAATTGCGATTTTTCTGTCCAATATTGTGATGAAATTTTAAATTGTGAATGTTTTCTATAAACTGATGTATTTTTTTGACTAATAAAACCACGTTTTGGCTTGAAGCTTGAACACTTAACACAGAGCACCAGCCTCCGAGTTATTTGCGGTTGTGATGTCACAGCACACGGCTGTTTGGATACTTCTGATTGGCCGAATTCATATAAAAGCAGTTCACAAGCTCTGTGTGATTAGGTTAATTTTCCCTACTTAACCCTTGCAGCGTGTTAACATTCACACTTAAAAAGATGGTTCTTTAAGGGTTCTATAGTAAAGAAAATGGTTCTATATGGAACTATGAACCCTCAAAAAACCTGTGGCCTGATTATATGCGTCTTTGCATTTTGAAACCCTTGTGGGTGCTATATAGAGTGTAGTCGAAAATAAACTTTAAGACTATGATAAAAAATGCAGCTTTTTCGGTTTAAAAATTGCACTCTTTAAAGTTGCGAATTCAATATAAAAATGATTAATTTTCAGCCCTAATGTTAAAGCCCCTTTTGTCAAGACATTTGTCAGTTAGTATCACAATTAAAAGTGCTGAGAGTTATTACAGTTATGTGTTAATTAACAGTTTATATGCAGACATAAAAACTATGTTTGCAACAGAGTTAGCTGTGGATGTGCAGTGACACAGGTCTCCTGAATAGAAAGTGTACATTGTACTTAAACTCAAGTAGAAATGTATGGAACTGATTAAGCTCTTAACTAGTTTTCTCCCCTGAAAGATACAATACTTAAAAATGATGCTTCATAACGGTGTTATACAGACGTATGCAAAACTTTAAACGCCCAAATGACATGTTTTGATTAGTCGAAATTAGTTAACACATTCTCTATGGGGAACAACCTTTAAGTGCACAATTTCTAACTATTTGCTGAGTTTAACATATTAAGGAAAAAATTAAAACAAACTAGAAAATGTGTCATTACATTAATTGCACAGGCCACATTTTTTGTTTTATTTTTTCCCATATAAACAATACAGCAAATAAACAGTAATTTATTAAAAATATGCAAAAAGAAAATGTGTTTATTTATTGTCACTTGACCAGGGGTGCCCAAACTTTTGCACAAGATGGTAAATGGAATAAATATTTCACTCTAGTTTGGGGCCACCTATGTCAATACAATGTCATTTACTTCATAAAACATCTTCTGTTCTCTTGCAAAAACTGGCATAAGCTGTTGATGAATACTTAAGTATTTCTTTGTAAATATGTTACTTAACGCTTATGCATGTGTTATGAAGTCTCTATGTAGGTAACCTGCAAATAAAGTGCAACCATTTTGCTTTTACCTATATGAAGAAATTGCAAGCCAGGCTGCCTCATGCGTTTATCTCTCTGACACTGTGTTCTGGTTCAGCTTGTGCATAAACACCTTCAGCTCCATCTACGTCTACTGCTACTGCTCTGGTTCTGTTGGTTTTGTCTCTGATTGCTCTTTTTCCACACCAGGGTCCAAATCTGACTGAGGGGTCTTGTGATGGATGATGTTTCCATATGTTGTCTCCTCGTTTGCGGGCTGGATGATCTCTTCTCCACTCACCGTCTCCGGTTTGATTTGTTCTTCCTCAGTGGCAGCTGAGTTTTCTGCCTCTGTGGTCTCTCTCTCAGGGTCTTCTCTCGAGCTGTGATGGATGGCGGCGTAATCAGGCGTAAGAGAGGAAAGACCCCTGATTTCGCCTGACCCTTTTTCAGCATTTGGGAAGTAGATGGTGGAGTAGTGGAGAATGTCCAGGTTGGGTGATAATATGTTTTTGTTGGCATATACAGACTCCTCCTCCTGCTCATCCTGACAAACAGCCTGTGGGATTGACAGCAAAACATTTTTTATATGAGTATTTAATCTTTGAGTTTTTGTATACAAAGCATGTGAAGTCATTCTGGTGTTAGATTTGAACTTAATCTAAAAACAGTATTGCAATACTCCACTGTGTTATGTTTCCAAAAGACCAACCCTAATCTACAAAGGAGATATCAAGGTATGTATTCATTTGTGCTGTCTGAGAATTGTACGACGGTAGGGCAACACAGATCCAGTCAAGAAAACAGCGCAAATACGCAGCATGGTATCCTTGTTTCATATGGAGGACAACAGAATGTGTCACAATGTCCGTCCAGTGTAACAAGAATAGCTACCTCTGTGTGAAGCTGCTGTGAGATTCCTGCAAGATGAGCTTTCTACATGTTAAACTGGCATCAAAAAAGTAGACAGGTTCAACTCAGACGTCAGGACTCAGAAGTGAATCAGAAAATCATTCTCTGAGCAGAACCAATATTTTAAAGCCTCCAGAAGTTGTTATGATCAGAATAATTCAAACACAATGTTGCACCCTGTCAACACAGTTGAGCCTGTGGTCAGTACTGTGAAGAGGAGAAATAAAGAAAGGGGCAAGGTAAAGGTCTGTCTGGAAGATAGTGATCGGAGCTATTCGAGCAGCTCCTACAAGGACATCTGTGTTTCCCACCAGTACTTGCCCTGCTTCAACACTAAACTTGGACAGTGTGGACAAGACTGCAAAACATTACAAGCTACAAACAGCCATCCCCTCAGACAATGGGCTGAACCAGCTGGCTGATAAGCTGAACACACACTACTGCAGGTTTGGAAAGCAAAGTATATATATATATATATATATATATATATAATATATATATATATATATAATATTATATATATACACACAAACACACATGTGTGTGTGTGTGTGTGTGTGTGTAGTTAATGGAATTTCCCACTAACCCTATCATTTAAAACGAGTCCTGCAGTTTCTTCTTGTGGAGGTTTGTGATGCGTTCTCCTGAAAAACAATTTAATTTCTCCTTAATCATCAGATCTTAATACAACTCCACCATACTTACACTGTGGTAAAAAAACATTCAATTTACAGATTATAAATAAACTGTTCAGTTGTAAATAAATGGATGTATACGCAATAAAATAAGGATGAAACTACACTTAAAATATCTTGCAATAAGTGCATGGGGAACATGCCTTCTCCTTTAAAAGGCAAAAAAGACATTAAAGGTCAGTTATTGTCTTCAGGCAAATGGCAATGCAATTCACTGACAAAAGGTATGGAGCTCTGCTGGTGACACCCATATAAATAAAAATAATGTTTGCATGCCTTACTAACGCATGGGAACGAGATCCTAATGCGTGGCCACGACTTAGAAAGGTGTGGGAACCAGATCATGCCTTACTAATTCATTCAGTCCGTGGGGCTTCCGCTGCGCCACTGGGGAGCACAGGTGACTATGGGTAAAAAACCTCAAGGAAGGGGAAAAGAAGAGGCGGAAAAACAGCAATGGTAAACAAAAGAAACCCTGAAACAAGTGTCCTCAAACAAAGGTTGAACTAGAAAGGTGAAATGAAAGATAATAGGAAAACAAAAAACACTTCCACTATAAGAACGACGGGAAGGCAGACTTTGTTTCAGTTGTTTGCTCTTGGTGGTTGGTTTATTTCTTGGAGCAGTTTATAGCTCAAGCCTCTTTTTTGTTTCTAAGTAGTTTTGGGACAGTTTATTTTTTATTTTTGCCCTCCTTTCCTTTTTCTGTAGTTTTGGGGCAATTTCTTTTCTCAGCCCTCTTTTCTTTTCTTTTCTTTTGTTTTCTTTTCTTTTCTTTTCTTTCCTTTCCTTTTCTTGAACGACACTAAGTACCGTACCGGTCACCCCTCTACAAAGGTGTGACAAACGCCACTGTCTGCCACGGCCTTAAGTAGAGGAGTCCGCAGATGTGTCGAGTTGGGCCTAATCAGCCCGAGGGCTTCTGGGCATTGGAGTTCCCTGAAGTTATGGCCCCGTGCCGCCACCGCCCTCTGCTGGCAGCTGGCGGGGCTGGCTGAACCCTTACACAGACTTAATCTTGGGCCAGGAAACCAGTCATAAGTGTTGTAAGCATATTTGCAAAATAATAAAAATAATAAAAACGGCAACAATACTTTAGTAAAGTACAAATCTTTCAAAATAATAATGTAAATAATTATTAAATTCTTATGGGATTAGTTTTACATAAGGAGGTGGGGTAATTTTTGCCTGTGTTTTTACTGTACACTTTCGCTTCAGTAAAGATTCTGGCACCTTAAATGAGCCTTATAAATAACTTCAGGTTATATTAATCCTGTGCAAATTGTCATGTCGGTGAATATTCTGTAGAAAGAGAGTATGGAGGCTTGAAGAAGCGATTATGAACATTATAGACATTTTGTGGTAAACTGCCAATACTACACCTCCCCTTGGAAAAATAATCCCGTCCAAATAGAGCTTAAGACTAGTAAATGTCAGTTATTCTTTTGAACAGACTTCACCGCTCTTGAGGTCTAGTAATGTGTGTAATATGGACACACCTTCCACACAAATATATTGTACACAGGATCATCACTGCAGAAGCTCCAACAGCAGCACCGACCAGCACAGAGGGAATGTGGAAAGGACCTACAGTGATCAATAAAAATGATAATTGGTTATTTAAGCAGAGATAAGCTGGAGATGACTTGGTTAATACAAAGTTCAGGAGCCTGCTGAACAAGGCTGGCTTTGACAGTCCTATACAGCAGGAGTTTTTTGGGCTCCCCCATCTTGCTAACTGATTACTGTAAAATTAGACTGTAAATAATAACAAAACATCCATACGATGTCTAAATTACATAAATGTGTAACTGGCAAATTGTGTCTTGTGGCTAGTTACTGCTGATTGGATGCTTTTTTAGGGTACTAATGAGTTATAATTTAAATTACAGATCACCTTCTCAGCATTCTTGATCCAAGGGTCTCTTTCATGACACAGTGTTTCTTGCTTACCCAGCTAACTGTAAGCTTAGTTGGATCTATTAATCTAATTAATCACAGCCTGAGTATGTAAACCTGGATTAATTTCAGCCTGAGTATCTAAACCTGGACTATTTACTGTCTATCTAAACCTGAATTAATCACAGCCCAAGTATCAAAAGCTGGATTAATCACAGCCTGAGTTTCTAAACTTGGATTAATCAAAGTTTGAGTAATCCTGGATTAATCACAGCATGTGTATATAATCCTGGATTGATCACCAGTATCTAAATCTGGACTATTCACAGTCTGAATATATAAACCTAGATTAATCCCAGCCTGCAAATATAAACCTGGATTAATCGCAGTCTGAGTATCTAAACCTGGATTAATCACAGTCTGAGTATATGAGAAAAGAACAAAATATATTTTAAAAGTCTTCAGACTTTTCTCATTTTCTCCTTTTTTTTTCCATTTTTGGCTCCAGTTGTGTTGCATTATCATTACTAGAAGCTGAATTGTATCATTATATTTATTCTTGTTTTTAATTTGATTTTGATTCTGATTTGATTTTGTTGTTTGTGTTGTTGTTCCTTTGTTTATTGGCATCTTTGTTGTTCTATGCCTCTAGAAACTGTACCATAGTTTTGCATCACATGCTAAAATAAAACAAAGCCTTTATCTTTGGGTGAACCTCCTTGCTCTCTCCTCATACCTTAAAAGAACAAATATTCCTTAAGGAAAAAACAGGTCAAACCTAACAAGCTAAGGAAAGTGACTCTATTCACAACTTTCCTAGAGCTTCTTAGGCTTCAATAGTGAAAAGCAAGATGTAAAATGATGCAGAGAACTTAATAATATGATACACACTGCATTATGCAAATGAAATGACAAATGACAAAACTTTTTAAATTAGTGTTGAAGGGTTGAATATTTCCTGTGGGTGTTATAAAGAGAAGTCTTTCAACAGTGTATCTGCAGGTCTTGATAGCTAAAGGCTCTTTGGCCTCAAAACAGCCTGAATGCTTACAGCAAAATCACTTCCTTTTTGTGGTTTATGAGCTGAGAAACAATTTAAAGCACGCAGCAGTTTTTAAGTGTGAAAACAGAAGAACAAGACGGCACGTGCTAGAAAACACAGGCCTAAATATAAATTTTGACTTTCCGCTAAAAGTCTGAAAAAAAACTGTTCTTTCTCGGCAGTTACATTCTCTAAAATATTTGTATGTGGGCAATATGCATCATGTGCTGCATCACTGTTGCAAAAGGGGAAATCCACTTTTAATCTACCCTGAAGGAGCTTATTTTGACATTTTGATAAATGACTGCTGTAAAACATCAACTATAATCAGCACGTTTGGTAGTTCAGTAAAAAAAACATCAACGCTAGGTGGGCATTCTGATTGTCTTTGTTGGGCAGGGGTCAAAAAATAGCAAGATGGACAAAGTGCAGAAAAAATACATCAACAAATAAATGCAGATAGAAGTCAAAAATCTAAAGAATTAAGACACACTTGGAAATGGATAAGAAATACATAAAAAGCACTAAAACAAACCAAACATAAACACAATAAGCAACATATTAACTGTTAATGAGATGGCAGAGCTAGAACATTCAAAGGAAATCCAGGAGGAGGATCCCATGACCTACAAAGTAATGACTACTACAGTTTCCAAAGATCTAAATTTACCAAAAAAAGTGCAAGTCTCTGAACATTCACCTAAAAGTGCCAACTTAGCTCATTTGCAAATAGCACATCACTCTCCATCCAATTTATTAGAAGCCCTAACTTTGTGTTTCTGCCCAAAGGCCACTTTATCATAAACCCTGACCTCATCCTCCAAAAATACTCATGCAAGATCAGCTCTGTGGTCTGAAACTGACCAGCAATGAAGTGGATGACTAACACAATCTGTACATCAGTAGATGAGCTAAGGTCTCTGACTTCACACAGTCAAGATTACAAGGATTTTTCATTCTACGGAACTCATTTTCATCCACACTGACAGATGTGGCTAAAGTTCATGAGAATAATATATTTTTCCCAAGAATTTGACCTATAATATATTTTTAAAAAAATGTATTCAGGGCGAAGAGGCCTGGTGTTATGGGGCAACCTGTACCTGCGCAGCACCCTTTTCTCTAATAGTGTAGTCCATCAGCCAAGACGTGTTTTTTGTCTGAAGTTTGCTACTTCACATTTAGCACTGGAGTTAACAAGCACTGGAAGCTTATAGCCAGTTAGCATCATGTTTAAGCAAAGCAGTGTTTCTAACCTGCAGATGAGCCATGAAAAGTAGCCACAGAGTAGAACAGCTGAGAGGTGCTGCCCAGCCTGTTGGTGCTGATACACTGCAGAGTGCCTGTAAGTGATTGTTGCATATAGATGAAGCTCTTGAGGCCTGTGCTGCCTACAGACTCCTCCCTGATGGATGGGTCCTTAGAGGGTGGGACAGGTTGTCCAGACAGACGCCACTCCAGTTTAGGAACAGGACGTCCATGAACCTCACAGACACACACGATCCCACCTTTACTGCTGCTGTTACAGTGGGAGGAGAGAGAGATCTGAGGAGAATCTGAGGCAGAGAGAGAGAGAGAGAGAGAGAGAGAGAGAGAGAGAGAGAGAGAGAGAGAGAGAGTGAGAGACCTTTTCATGTTCCTGTAATCCTGAAAACTTTTTTCGTATTCAATTTTATAATCTACTACACTTTCGCATTTCAATATGTAGTAGTTTTCTCACTACATGCTGTTGTAACAGATGCAGAGTGTGGCTTTGTGTTGTCATGTTGAAGTAAGCAGGAGGCCAGGAGCCATGCCCGCCACACAACGAAATACGCCATAAGAATTAATGAAAATGAAACAGAAAACCTGAACAAAATTCCAAAAAGGCAAATTCTCTCATTTATGTTAACACTAGTTAGCCATTCTGTGCTACTCACAGATTTCCCTGTAGGTCTGTCATTCTAAAACTTTTGCCCAATCACAGTGGGAATGCTGTCGAGGGTAAACAGATCTTCCTGCTCTTTTAAGAATGGTATTTTTATTCAACAAAGCGGCTGATTTGATTGATTATCTATTTGGAAAAAGCAGATCTGTAGTGCTTTCTTTCTGCTCCTGTAAGGAAACCGAACCAGCCAGACGCTCGCGCTAAAAACGAAAAATGAGGCTTTATTATTGGGGGTTTGGCAAAACTCAGTATCAGTGAGCAGGTGGTGATCAAATCCACCAGAAAGGTCAAAGTACAAAGAAGGACTAACATAAACAAAACCGGGCAACCAGATCTAAAAGGACAAAAAGAAAAAGAAAAAGTCAGAGAAGGTCAGAATATTGCAAGAGGCAATTGGAGCCAGAGGGATGCGGGACAGCTCAACTTTGCAGCACATCCACAATACTTTTCTTAATACGTTTTATGTTGTCAGAACACAGGATCACAGTATGGATTTTTTCCCATCTACCAGCACAACCCCAACATAAAATACAGGGATGGGGTAATTTGGGAGAACACAATGAGGAGGGTAGACAAACTTACATACAAAGAACCCACCCTCCTCAGTATGCCGAGTACCATGGCCGTAACTAGCTATGAGGACACCGAAGAAGAATTTCAGAAGAATTTTTTTTTCACTTTTCTTTGTTCATGAGATGTAAAATGTAGAGAAAGCGCCCTTATGGTAATGTGTCACAGTGTCACAGACCTTGATTTGTTTTCTGTGAGCGCTGTCACTGTATTATGGCCAATTAAAATCTCCCAAGCTTTTCCTCAGCCCCCCAATAACTGCTTAGCAACCGCTGCTATCCACAGTTACTTCAGTACTTTATCAGCAGCCATAATGTTCGTGCCTAGCATTAGGACACTGAGGACCTGTGAAGTTTTTGAAGCGTTTTATTAGATTCAGTGTGGACAAAAGCAACAAAGTGAACAGTGACATGTGCTCAGCTGACCTCAGAACAGCTGCAGTTCAGCCATAGACTTAACTACAGGCTCCATAGTCAGCAATATTAGTGATTAGATGAGAAATTAAAGCTGTACTGTGTTACCTACTCATAACATAATACAGCCAGCATGAGAAAGTTCACTGTTAACCAGCATATTGATGGTGTAGCATCATGTAGCTAACGTTATTAAATCAGCAGGTACATTAGACTGTATTTTGTCTAATTTTTTTTTCAAAATAAACATATAAATAAATAGTTCTATGATTAACTAAATGAACTTAAGCAGGATAACTGGAGTCAAATCAGTTTGTGGAACAGTAATATCAGTTTATAGGAAAAAAAAATAATGGAGTGATGGGAAAAGAACAAATGAAAGGAAAAGTGCATAACAGTTATGGATGGGTAAACAGGACCAATAATTTGGTGGACAAAAAAACCTGAAGGAGAAACTTGGTGTAATAGTCATATTCAGCAGTTATTTTATTCATTTCTGCAAAATGGACCTCACTTAAATTTTGATCCTAGTTATGGCCCTGCGAAGTACTATCAATAAGCAACAACAGCAACAACAACAACCATCCTGAGAGCCACTTTGTGTGCATCCTCATATATAAAGCTACTAAAGCGTTGTAGCACTGTACTCACTCTGAACGTGCAGCTGCACAGATGAGTTTTGAGCTCCATGTTGGTTCTGAGCTCTACAGTAGTATAAACCACTGTGTGTATCATCAGTCTTGTTGATGGTGAGAGAGGGTCCGGTCTCTATCTGCTCTCCATTCTCTCTGTACCAGGTGTAGTTCACTGCTGGGTTTCCATCACTGCTGCAGTTCAGAGACACTGAACTGCCAAACATCACTGGACCAGACGGAGACACTGACACTGATGTATTCTTAGGAGCATCTGAGAGAAGAAACAGAATAAGAGCATGTAGTATTAGGATGTCAGCTAAACTTCACTGAGTTGATCAGATTTAGGACACCACAAAACTAATAAAACACAAGACTTTTTCACAATGCAGAAACTACTGAGTAATATGTTCAATACATAAACCATCTTACATAGAACATGTAAAACCAGAGAGCGCTGGGTTGTTTTGGTGCCATTGTTCTTCAGCTGGTAGGTGGCAGTGCAGTTGATTCTGAGTCCATGATGAAGGTGAGTAGTGATGAAGTTCAGCTGAGAGGAGGTGAAGCTGGTGTTTTGGTTCTGCTCCTGGCTGCTGTTAGTGGGCAGGGGGCTCCATGACAATGTGGGGGTCTGAGTGGGACACGGAGAAAAAGTAGAGCAGAGCAAACTCACAGAGCTGCCCACCAACACCCTCCGATCCTGCACCTCCATCTGGTCTCTATACAGACTCAGTGTGGGTTTGGGGAGAGAGTCTGACACACAGATGAGGAGTGTCAGAGTGTCATATTACAGAAGGTATGTTTTAAATATATTCTTACTGTTATCTCAGAAGAACAATTACAATGTACATAAATTTCACTCACCTCTGACATTTATAGAAACAAATTGTGTATAATTGTATTTCAGTTCTCCTGCCTCTATTCTGAAGTAATATTTCCCACTGTGACTCTTATTGACGCTGTTGAAGATGGTGGTGCAGTTCTTCATTTTGAGATCTCCTGATATTTTCCCTTTAATCTTGTGGTTTTTCGGTGTTGTGGAGTCAAAGACTGTCTGATGATCCTCAGTGCCATTTTTAAGCCATATTCCTTTAGGATTTTTCTGGAGGTCTGTATCAAACTTGTTCTCAATTGTAAAAGTGCAGGGTATGAGAACACAGCGTCCTCTCACAGCTTCTACACTCTCTGGCAGAGTGATGCTGAAGGAATCGATGCACAGAGCAACTGAACACACACACACACACACACACACACACACACACACACACACACAGAACCACACACACAGAACCACACAAAAGTATTAATACACACAAAAACACCAGGCCAGTCTCTGAAACCTCAGAACATCATTAATATAAAGTACAGCTGCCAGAACCTGAATAAGCACTACAGACAACACACCAATGAACAAATCACACATTTCACATAAATACACAGAAAACATCATGAGTTACACACAGCCCCATGTAAGCTTAACAGTGTAATGCACAAACCTTGAAACAGACAATAAATAACTGTAAGATTCTCTGCTCTTTTCATCTTTCTGATGAGGAAAAATCACCTAAAAAAGAAACAGGCAAACGAGAATGTAATTAATTTAGTATATACTTTATTCAACTGCTTACATAAAACTTAGGATACAAAGAACAGTTTTCAGTAGTTGAATCGGTAACACTTTCTATGAATGTCACCTTTGTAAGCATCTATAAACACATTCATAACATGTTATAATGCATTCATAAGACATTATAAACATAGCTATAAATATTTATAAAAATGCACTATACATTATAGACATGTTTATTATGCATTATGAATTGTTAACATAATGCGTTATAAGTACTGTTCATAACAAATTATAAGAGCTCATAAGTTGTGTTTGTCCGCTCTAAGTAAAGTGAAGCGTACTGTACTAAAGCCTCCTCCAGTGTTCAGAGTGAGGCTTCAAGTTGAAGTATTTACTGAAGGATTTACTGAAACACTAAAACATTCACAGTAAAGCACATTACAGGCTTCAAATGTCAGAGTTTAAACTAGAGCTGCCATCAGTGTTTTACCCAATGTGGGAAAGGTAATGTTCACCACCGTTAGCTTGGTATTTGTCTTTACTTTACGCTCTCCAAGCTGGGACTGACTTCTTTGGCACTGACATTGTAACATGTTATTAACACTATTTATAATGCATTATTTTGACAATTCATAATGTATAATAAACATGGCTATAAAGGGTAATTCAGTGTAATTCTTTTTTATAAATATTTATAACCACATTTATAATGCCTTATGAATACATTATAACATGTTATAAATGTGTTTATAGATGCTTACAAATGCGACGTTCATAGAAAGTGTTACCGTTGAATCTTACCTCTACAGCTTATGTGGAAAAATAACATGCAGTTTATTTTCAGGTGCTGGAGAAGAGTGTAACAGCTTTGTAAAAGTGTTTGTAATCATTAAAAAACTGAGTTCAGTACATATAAATGTCGTTTCAATGTATTATGGCCGTTTTCTTCATAACAAGCACAAAAAATCGCTAACAGCATGCTAATGTCTCAGTAGCTAGCTAGCTAACGTTCCTGTTCCACTCAAAAACAAGGGGTAGGGGTAAAAAGAAGAAATGGGATTGGGCCTAAGTAGTATGCAAAAATAGTACACCACCAAAAGAAGTGCTTTTAGTAGTGCAGTATGTAAAGTTCCAAAGTGTGTTGTTTGGGACGCAGCCTCACTGTCTAACATTAACAGTAGCCTTGTCTCAGTCGTCTAACGCTAGAACTTTCTCCTGTTAGGCTTAACGTGAATTGTTTTGTCATCTCATTTCAGCATAATGGCACCAAAAAAGATAAATAAAACCATTACAGGACACAGGTTTTTTAAGAGTAGCCTTAAGCGAACAGGATTAGTTTTTCAAGGTTAGGTGGGGTAATGCCAGTTTACCTCAGGACATCTGGAATGGTTCAAACATTTAGTTTAGCTGTTATTTTGATTACTCTAACCATTTAGCTTTCTGTCTTATGTGAATGCAGAGCGACATTAGCCTCACCATTTGGGAATTCGCACCAGTCAACTTCACCACATGTAATCAATATGATTTTCCATTGATTGATTATCCATTGAACAGGCTGTTCATGTAACTATACGTTTAAAACCGATCTATGTAAATGATGCTTATTTGGATTGGCTGCTCTATATTAGACATCAGAAAAAACTCCAGGCTGAAAAATTTTAGCGACAGTGGGCGGGGCTAAATTGCAAATGAACTGGTTTTTGTGACATCATTGAAACACTGAATTCAGAACAGACTGTTTTACAGCTGTTTCTATATATGGACTGTGTGGACTGGTAAGTGAATGGTACATGTTAAAACTTTAACAGTATGTACATATTACATCAAACACATTGCAAAGAAGTGAGGAGATCCAATTTTCCAATATGAGACCTTTTAAAGTTTCACGTGTTGTTTGTTTTTCTCTTTTTTGCTTTATTGTGGGGGTAGGGGGGCCTTCAAAGACATTTGATCCATCCTTGAGTGGAGATCTCAACAAAGTCTCACATTCATGTTCATCTGCAACTAAACTCTCATCTCTCCACATTTCTCCTCTATCTCTTCTCTCCTTTCTGTCTAATGCTGTTTCATCTTAGGAATTTTAGGAAAATCCCCATAATGTGTCCTGAGCTATCAAAGAGCAACATTGAGCAATACAATTTTCTTCTGGAGGGCTTCAGGTCAAATTGGTTTATTGGCAATTACAGCCAGAGACTGTAAGGAATTTGTGTAGCATTGAAAAAAGCTTCACAGAAAAACACATTCATCATTGACCATAAATAGGACATTCACAAAAAATGCAATCTTAAAACCACTAATGCTTATGGGATATAAAAAGAAGCACACACAACAATATAAAAGTTAAATAAATAAAGTTAGAGAGAAGGCAGTGCAGTGCAGTCTACCAACAAAATAATCAATTCATTTTTTTTTCCTCCAGAAATACATATTCTTCTAAAGTGTTCTGTTCTAAACCAAACCTGTCACAGGTATTGCTGTGTTATATCTTCAGCGACAGAGTTTGCCCAGCTGCCGTGTGCATGACACACTGAGTGAAGTCACCAGGCGGCATCTGCATTTGTTTGTTTTCTTCAAAATTACATCATATTGTTTGCTGAACATTGTGATTTTAAAACAAGAGATCAGTTCAGATAGATGAATGAATGAAGTATGAATTCTGTACCTCACCTAAAAAAACAACCAAAGTTACCAAATGACAAAAATGATACTAATGACCTCTGTGGTCCACAATGAACTAAAAAACTAGAGATCCTCCAGTAGAGATCCACTACAGCAGATCACCGACAGTAGTGGAAAGAATACTAAAAATTCATAAATAAGTAAAAGTAACGCTATACATTAATAATGCACTTGAAAACAAGCAAAAGTAATAATAATGAAGAGTATGCAAGAGTAAATGTGTTATTTATTGAAAAACGTATTTTGTGTTACTCAATATCACATGCATTGTGGCTACTTAGTAGATTAATGCTTAAATACATAAAAAATAATAAAGATATTTAATCCACTTCATTTCATTCATTGTGTCAATATATCTGGGTACTGTAGTGTCAAATCATTTTAAAGGGGAGTTTCACCCATTTTTTAAGACTGATGCATATTTCACTCATGATAAGATGTAAATTAAGTCATTCAGAGTGGTTTGATGTGTAATGGTTCACTGCAGAGAAACATATTTTCAGATTTCTTTACTGTGGTGGTGATCTTGATGTTTTAACCTCTTAATTTCCTGATTATAAAATACGCAGATGTTCAGTGTTCTTTAAGTCCCGGTGTTATCCATGATATGCCCAGAAGAGCATATTGTGACACTGTATTCATCACCAAATATTTCAGCATTTATCATGGTAATGATGAAATATTGTCATATTGCCCACTCCTAACACAATATATCACTCAGACACATTACTAACCAGCATTTCAAAGTTCTGCTTTACTGATCAGCAACTACCCTGTGTTTCACACCCATTTTACAGCTTCACAAATGAAATCTTTATCAGTGTACAAAGCTCATACAGCACCACTGCTACAGTGAGATTAACAGGAGCTCCAGTGGTTCTTACCTCACAGGGTGGATGAGAAGCTGGTGGAAAAACAGCTCTTTGGTACAGAGAGTGTAGAATCTGTAGTTGTTGAGTTCAGATTGTATAAAGTGTCCTGCTGTATCTGAGCTGTCTGTGGCAGGCTAGATTTCACTGCACTGTGCGACAAACAACACACACACACACATGCACACATATACACACACACCACACACACACCACACACACACACACACACACACACCACACTTTAACTTCCTCTCACACTCGCAAAGCCTGAACGTGCAACACGACTTCAGTAAGGCCCATTTAATAGAAAACTGACTGTTGATGTTTTAAACACTGTTCAGGCTTTAAAACATGCCATTCACTCTCCAGTCCACACAGTCCATATATTTAAAATATGCCTAAACAACTCATTATGAATGAACTGTTTTTGTGATGTCATTAAAACAACAAATTTTATATATCTACCAGTTCAACCAGCAGTAAGGTCATTTACATCAGAGTTTCCCACAGATTTAAAATGGGGAGTGGGGGACCAGCTGTAGGTGGGAGACCCTGACTCAAAAGCATGAATAACAAATTTGATAATAGTCTTTGCAATTAAATGTTATAAATACACAATAAAACTCTACAAATACAATAAAGTTCTACATCAACTCACCTTAACTGGCATTACGATAAAACTCTACATTAACTCACCTTAACCATCACTACAATAAAACTCTACATTAACTCACCTTAACATCATTACATAAAACTCTACATTAACTCACCTTAACCATCATTACAATAAAACTCTACATTAACTCACCTTAACATCACTACAATAAAACTCTACATTAACTCACCTTAACCATCACTACAATAAAACTCTACATTGACTCACCTTAACCATCACTACAATAAAACTCTACATTAACTCACCTTAACATCACTACAATAAAACTCTACATTAACTCACCTTAACCATCACTACAATAAAACTCTACATTAACTCACCTTAACCATCACTACAATAAAACTCTACATTAACTCACCTTAAAATCACTACAATAAAACTCTACTTTAACTCACCTTAACCATCACTACAATAAAACTCTACATTAACTCACCTTAACATCACTACAATAAACTCTACATTACTCACCTTAACCATCATTACAATAAAACTCTACATCAACTCACCTTAACCATCACTACAATAAAACTCTACATTAACTCACCTTAACCATCACTGCAATAAAACTCTACATTAACTCACCTTAACCATCATTACAATAAAACTCTACATTAACTCACCTTAACCATCACTACAATAAAACTCTACATTAACTCACCTTAACATCATTACAATAAAACTCTACATAACTCACCTTAACCATCATTACATAAAACTCTACATTAACTCACCTTAACATCACTACAATAAACTCTACATTAACTCACCTTAACCATCACTACAATAAAACTCTACATTGACTCACCTTAACATCACTACAATAAAACTCTACATTAACTCACCTTAACATCACTACAATAAAACTCTACATTAACTCACCTTAACATCACTACAATAAAACTCTACATTAACTCACCTTAACCATCACTACAATAAAACTCTACATTAACTCACCTTAAAATCACTACAATAAAACTCTACTTTAACTCACCTTAACCATCACTACAATAAAACTCTACATTAACTCACCTTAACATCACTACAATAAAACTCTATATTAACTCACCTTAACCAGCATTACAATAAAACTCTACATTAACTCAACTTAACCATCATTACAATAAAACTCTACATTAACTCACCTTAACCATCACTACAATAAAACTCTACATTAACTCACCTTAACCGTCACTACAATAAAACTCTACATTAACTCACCTTAACCATCACTACAATAAAACTCTACATTAACTCACCTTAACCAGCATTACAATAAAACTCTACATTAACTCACCTTAACCATCATTACAATAAAACTCTACATTAACTCACCTTAACGATCACTACAATAAAACTCTACATTAACTCACCTTAACCATCACTACAATAAAACTCTACATTAACTCACCTTAACCATCACTACAATAAAACTCTACATTAACTCACCTTAACATCACTACAATAAACTCTACATTAACTCACCTTAACCATCATTACAATAAAACTCTACATTAACTCACCTTAACATCACTACAATAAAACTCTACATTAACTCACCTTAACCATCACTACAATAAAACTCTACATTAACTCACCTTAACCGTCACTACAATAAAACTCTACATTAACTCACCTTAACCATCACTACAATAAAACTCTACATTAACTCACCTTAACATCACTACAATAAAACTCTACATTAACTCACCTTAACCATCATTACAATAAAACTCTACATTAACTCACCTTAACCATCACTACAATAAAACTCTACATTAACTCACCTTAACCGTCACTACAATAAAACTCTACATTAACTCACCTTAACCAGCATTACAATAAAACTCTACATTAACTCACCTTAACCATCATTACAATAAAACTCTACATTAACTCACCTTAACCATCACTACAATAAAACTCTACATTAACTCACCTTAACCATCACTACAATAAAACTCTACATTAACTCACCTTAACCATCACTACAATAAAACTCTACATTAACTCACCTTAACATCACTACAATAAAACTCTACATTAACTCACCTTAACCGTCACTACAATAAAACTCTACATTAACTCACCTTAACATCACTACAATAAAACTCTACATTAACTCACCTTAACCATCACTACGATAAAACTCTACATTAACTCACCTTAACCATCACTGCAATAAAACTCTACATTAACTCACCTTAACCGTCACTACAATAAAACTCTACATTAACTCACCTTAACCAGCATTACAATAAAACTCTACATTAACTCACCTTAACCATCATTACAATAAAACTCTACATTAACTCACCTTAACCATCACTACAATAAAACTCTACATTAACTCACCTTAACATCACTACAATAAAACTCTACATTAACTCACCTTAACCATCATTACAATAAAACTCTACATTAACTCACCTTAACCATCACTACAATAAAACTCTACATTAACTCACCTTAACCATCATTACAATAAAACTCTACATTAACTCACCTTAACCATCACTGCAATAAAACTCTACATTAACTCACCTTAACCATCATTACAATAAAACTCTACATTAACTCACCTTAACCATCACTGCAATAAAACTCTACATTAACTCATCTTAAACATCATTACAATAAAACTCTACATTAACTCACCTTAACCATCACTGCAATAAAACTCTACATTAACTCATCTTAAACATCATTACAATAAAACTCTACATTAACTCACCTTAACCATCACTACAATAAAACTCTACATTAACTCACCTTAACATCATTACAATAAAACTCTACATTAATTCACCTTAACATCACTACAATAAAATTCTACATTAACTCACCTTAACCATCATTAGAATAAACTCTACATTAACTCACCTTAACCATCATTACAATAAAACTCTACATTAACTCACCTTAACCATCACTACAATAAAACTCTACATTAACTCACCTTAACCATCACTACAATAAAACTCTACATTAACTCACCTTAACCAGCATTACAATAAAACTCTACATTAACTCACCTTAACCATCACTACAATAAAACTCTACATTAACTCACCTTAACCATCACTACAATAAAACTCTACATTAACTCACCTTAACCATCACTGCAATAAAACTCTACATTAACTCACCTTAACCATCACTGCAATAAAACTCTACATTAACTCACCTTAACCATCACTACAATAAAACTCTACATTAACTCACCTTAACCATCATTACAATAAAACTCTACATTAACTCACCTTAACCATCACTACAATAAAACTCTACATTAACTCACCTTAACATCACTACAATAAAACTCTACATTAACTCACCTTAACCATCACTAAAATAAAACTCTACATCAACTCACCTTAAAATCACTACAATAAAACTCTACATTAACTCACCTTAACCATCACTGCAATAAAACTCTACATTAACTCACCTTAACCATCACTACAATAAAACTCTACATTAACTCACCTTAACATCACTGCAATAAAACTCTACATTAACTCACCTTAACCATCACTACAATAAAACTCTACATTAACTCACCTTAACGATCACTACAATAAAACTCTACATTAACTCACCTTAACATCACTACAATAAAACTCTACATTAACTCACCTTAACATCACTACAATAAAACTCTACATTAACTCACCTTAACCATCATTACAATAAAACTCTACATTAACTCACCTTAACCATCACTACAATAAAACTCTACATTAACTCAGCTTAACCATCACTACAATAAAACTCTACATTAACTCAGCTTAACCATCACTACAATAAAACTCTACATTAACTCACCTTAACCATCACTACAATAAAACTCTACATTAACTCACCTTAACCATCATTACAATAAAACTCTACATTAACTCACCTTAACCATCACTACAATAAAACTCTACATTAACTCACCTTAACCATCACTACAATAAAACTCTACATTAACTCACCTTAACCATCACTACAATAAAACTCTACATTAACTCACCTTAACCGTCACTACAATAAAACTCTACATTAACTCACCTTAACCATCACTACAATAAAACTCTACATTAACTCACCTTAACCATCACTACAATAAAACTTTACATTAACTCACCTTAACCGTCACTACAATAAAACTCTACATTAACTCACCTTAACCATCACTACAATAAAACTCTACATTAACTCACCTTAACCGTCACTACAATAAAACTCTACATTAACTCACCTTAACCATCACTACAATAAAACTCTACATTAACTCACCTTAACCATCACTACAATAAAACTCTACATTAAGTCTTCTCACCTGGCTTTCACCTTACTGAAATATAGTCAGACAAAATGGCAGATGAAATGTCTATATCCTTGAGAAGTGCATTCTTGTAATTTAAATCGTCATTATTTGCATAAAAGACATTATTTGAGTCCAGCTTGGTAAGTGGCTGGAAGGCTGTAGGGTAACCTACTGAAGCAAAAAGGCTTTTACAGTTG